AGTCTGGGCCGGGTAGATGCCGCAGGTTGGGGGTACTCGGGACAGACATCTGTTGCTTTTTTGACCGGCGCATTCTCCTCTTCTTCTTGGGCTTGACAGCATCCGATGTGGCTCCCTCATCAGCCGTCTCCTCAACGTCTGCATCAGCATCGCTGCCACCATCTTCATCTAGTGTCCGAGGTATTCTTGACCTGAACTGGCCGGTGGTGGGCGAGCTACCCATGGACGGCGGCGTGCCGTTATCGTTCAGGTTACCGGAGCTGCTGGTCTTGAGGGTCTGCATGCTACCAGAGCCGGTGAGCTGCTTTAGTTTAGAAATGAAGGCAGAGCCAATGGACTTTCCGCCGTCGTCCCATGATGGCTGCCGCGAATGGCTTGCGGGGGCTTCCAGGACCTGATCCGTTCTGGCAAATTGTACACTTCTGCGATCGGTCGGTGAAGCTGGCTCAGGGGAATATGTATCGTATTCGGGCATCACGGGCAGACCGCCAGGAGTCTGACGTACGCTATCGGTGGAGTTGAGGGTTGGGAGCTGCGGCCGCCTTCCGTCGTTAACGGGTGACACGCTGTCATGAGGTGCTCCCCCATTGATGTAATCTCGTGCTTCCACCGTGGAATCGATCGGGGTATGCGTGTCTTTTGGCGTCGGGAGATCCTTCGGGGGGGGAGCTGGAGGGCCATCTTTCGGCGGAGGAGCTGGAGGAGCAATCGACTCTGGCTGGCTCGTGATGGCAGGCGATGCCGCGCGAGGGCTTCTTGTCATTGGGGAGACCGAATCATCTCGTCTCGAGTCCGTCATTGCGACGGGAAATTCGGGAGGGTGTAGAAGTAGGAGACGAGTCGAGGGTAGGTCGAGGCTTCAAGGAAGTCGGCTCGCGAAATTGAGGTGTGTAGGCCGTGGATCGGTGTGAACACCTCAAGCATGGCTTTCTCGGCGAAGTAAAAATGAGAGACAGCAGCCCAACAAGGGGTCGGGCTTGCGTTTGCAAGATCAAGTCGAGGGGTGGTCGGGGCTGATGTCTTATAATCGCGGTCGAGACAATCAGACACACCCGTCGGTGAGAGGCTCGAGGGCGAGAAGCTAAAGCGAGACAACAACGGCGCTCGTGGTCGATTACCGGCAGCTGCTCCAAAATCCGGCTGACGGGTTTGGCGAGAAACAACACCTTCCAAAGAATGAAATGTAGCAGCAACCAAAAAGAAGGTTGGGCTGGGGGTGTGCTTCTGCAAGTCCTGCAGGGTTGATGGAAGATCGGTTTCGTTGCAGTTGAGCACCTTGAATCTTTGGACCTGCTAAGACTCAGGTATCTTCCGTACGGATAGGCGGGCACACTGCAGACAACCTCAGATCCTCGAGACCAGGAACCTTGGGGCTGTCGCAGTTTTGGGGGAGACAGGGAGGGCAATGGAGTGCAGTGAAAGGTAAGGGAGGGACCAGGACCAGTGATCCCTGTGACGGCCTGCAAATCCCCAGCAAGTTGCAACGTTGGTGGAGGGCGAGGCTTAATTGCTTCTTTGGCTCCGAGCCAATGGGCGCCAATAGGGGCGCGAATAAGGGGGGGTGAACAGGGGGAATGACCCAGCGGCTCCCTCCCGGGGCGTGCCACCTTAGTCCGATGTCACGCCCAAATCTTCAGTGGCCCCCTGCGCTATTTGGGCGCGGTGCAGCAGATGGAGCTTCCATTGACATTTGACACCGAATCCGCGGTTGAACAACCTCCTCATTGAGGGATAGGCATTGATTTTCTGCCCGTCTCTGCCGTTTCGGTTCCATGTGACTTGTCTGTGGTCGTCTCCCGCTTGGATCAATCCAGAGATGAGATGCTTGAGAGGGAGCTAAGGCGCAGAAAAGGACGGGAATGGACTGAGCTCCTACATTAGATGTAAGTAGTGTACTTGAGCCCTACAGGGGCCCGTTTCTGCCCAGATTACGTCCTAAGCCAAACTTTCATCGACTGTGCGACCACGAAATGACCACAATTACAGACGACGCAATTCCCGCAATTATGGATCGACAGCTTTGATTATACGCCTGTTGCGCGCATATGGCATGTCCGGGCCGTGGGGGCGTTCAATAGGGGTTCGGATAGATCTGAGACGTGGGCATCCAAGATATGTCATTATTGTCGGGATAGCGGTGCTTGATTATCTGCCAAACGCAAGGAGAAGAGGCGTGGCTGGCAAATACGTGACCACAGGGCCGCGTAGCTTTAGATGGAAAGGTATCCTCATCAACGAATGACATCCGCACCCAGGCACTTCAACCCTTGGTGCGGGCGTGGGATCCGAGGAAAAGTCCGTTATTCGCTTCGGATTGAGAGAGGCCGCCGAGACCCATTGCGGAGGAACAAGGCCAAGGGACAAAGAACGAGCGTGTAGACCCTGACTAGACAGTCCGCGTGGGCTGTTTCACTGTGAATGAAAGAATGGAGAATTGGGGATCCATCATTTGAGTCTCCCATCTCTCAAGATGTGGCTTAAAATTTGATGTGTGGCACCTACTGTACTACCGTTTGCGAGCAACCTCAGTGTACCACCACTCTCTGTCCCTGCCTTACGTAACGCACTCAGAGCGCGTCTCGCGCATCTTCTTATCGATAAGCTCTCACCGTCGCGTCCAACATCACAGCTTGCGGAAGGTCACTGATTCTGGAGCCTAACATCGCCAAAGCCGCCGTCACATTGCAAAGATGCCAAGGTATGTTTCGCAAGCCTCTCTTGACCTGCCCTGACCTCATTCTGACTACGTTTAATAGGGAAATTATTACGGTCCAGGCCGGACAATGCGGCAACAGCAGTCAGTTTATCCCACCAAACAGAGCATCAGTCGTGCGGAATGGAGCTAATGCCAGACAGTTGGAAGCCAATTCTGGCAGCAGCTTTGTCAGGAGCATGGCATCAACCAGGACGGAAATCTAGAGGACTTTGCTACTGAAGGTGGCGATCGCAAAGACGTCTTTTACTACCAGAGCGACGACACACGATACATTCCGCGAGCTATCCTGGTCGATCTAGAGCCAAGGGTACGTCGACGAGTTCGTGCGAGAGACCGTACTCTTGCTAATTGAGCTATAGGTCATACAAGGCATTCAAAGTGGCCCCTACAAGAACATCTACAACCCCGAGAACTTTTATGTCGGCAAAAATGGAGTTGGTGCTGCGAACAACTGGGGTGATGGTTATCAGACTGGCGAAGTGGTCTACGAAGACATTATGGAGATGATCGACCGCGAGGCTGATGGCAGCGACTCTCTAGAAGTACGTGCAACGTTGTATTATTCGTGCGACCCTTGCTGATCGTCTCAGGGCTTCATGATGCTGCACTCGATCGCGGGAGGTACCGGCTCTGGTCTGGGCTCCTTTCTCCTCGAGCGGCTCAACGACCGGTTCCCCAAAAAGATCATCCAGACATACTCCGTCTTCCCTGATACCACAAACGCGGGAGATGTCGTCGTTCATCCTTACAACAGTGTTCTCGCCATGAGGAGGTTAACGCAAAATGCCGACTCAGTGGTGGTTCTAGACAACGGAGCACTATCACGCATCGCAGCCGACAGGTTACACGTTCAGGAGCCCTCGTTTGCTCAAACAAATCAACTGGTAGGAAATATGCTCTCATGGTCGAGGCTCACAGACTGACTTGGGCAACGCAGGTATCGACTGTCATGTCAGCAAGCACCACAACTCTCAGATACCCAGGTTACATGCACAACGATCTGGTCAGCATTTTGGCCTCGTTGATACCCACGCCTCGCTGCCATTTCTTGATGACAGCATACACACCATTCACAGGCGATCAGGTAGAGCAGGCTAAGACGGTACGGAAGACGACAGTACTGGACGTCATGCGGAGACTACTGCAGCCCAAGAACCGCATGGTCTCTACTCAACCGGGAAAGAAGAGCTGCTACATTTCCATTCTGAACGTCATTCAGGGCGAAGTGGATCCGACAGACGTTCACAAGAGTTTGCTGAGAATCCGGGAACGACGACTAGCGACCTTTATCCCATGGGGACCGGCCAGCATTCAAGTCGCCCTCACAAAGCGGAGCCCCTACATCCCAATGGCCCACCGCGTCAGTGGATTGATGCTGGCAAATCACACAAGCATCGCAACTGTAAGTTTCACGATCTTGGCCCTGGTACGCGCCTGCTTTGCTAATGGATTCCTAGCTCTTCAAGAGAATCCTAAGACAATACGACGGTATGCGGAAGCGTAATGCCTTCATGGAAGGTTACAAGAAGACGGCGCCTTTTGCTGAGAACCTGGACGAATTCGACGAGGCCCGCGAGGTTGTGTCAGACTTAATCCAAGAGTATGAGGCGGCGGAGGACTCCGACTACCTGAACCCCGACACCGGTGACAAGGCGACTTCAGCTGAAACGGACAAGAGAATGGGCTAGAATAGTCGGCAGTGGTAAAAGGGAAAGGTTGGCAGTTAGTACAGGGCTGGGAGATGGCAGGGGAGGATCAAAACGTCGACATGGCTATGACGGCATCTGCATCTGCACTTTGGGAAAAGGAACAGACCGGCTCTATGGTTGGCTTTGCTGGGACTCTGGGAGTAAGGCGTTCAAGGACGGGTGACAGAAGCTGACGAAAAAAGCCCACTCAGCCGATACCAACAACCCCTCAATAAACTTGCATTTGATTGAGGAAAACGCTCTGTTCATACCCAGGCACCACTTGGACCCTCAATTCCGAGTAGCCCTTTTGCCTCATCGAAGCATCTGGAGCTTTTGCTCCTGGCCAATTTGTGTCATTGATCGCCCATTCGCCATTCATGCCCAAAAGTGTTGTTAGATGTTCTCCACTTCCCGCGACAATCGTCGATGAACGTCAATGGTTCTCCACTGATTCCGCGCAAAGAGCCGCAATTGCACCTGCTTGACGTAATTGACGTCAGCGTCCGTAAAGGCTCCGAAAGCTCAGGCCTGGCCAACTTGGAGCTCATCCTCCTCCAGCTTTGCATATAAGAGTCTCTGTTGATGCTCGATGAAGAAGTTGTGTTTTCTTATCCTCATCACACATCAAGCAATCACAAAACAAGCCAACCATCAAAGTCACAGCACCAGTGACTTCTATCAAACTTAAAAAAATCCCTGTCGACGAATCAACTACAGTGAGCTACATTCCCTGCACCCCGACCGTTAAGGCCCCCAGCCAATAGCACCCACAGATCATGGCACGCTAACTTGTATTTTTTCTAGCGATCTTCTTTCAAACAACTACCGCCAAAATGACCCAGTCCAAGGCCGATAAGATCAGCGAGGTCCAGTCCAACCTCCCCCTCCCCGAGCAGCCCCCCGTCGCCTCCGACTGGCAATCCGCCGACGCCACAAAGGTCAACGTCGGCAGCGGCGGTGATGCCGAGACGACTGTTGGCACTGGCACCGGCGCCACCTCCGGTCTGAGAGGTCCCGCCTCCAAGGCCAACGAGGACCTCAGCAACGTCGGTCGTCAGGCTACCGAGGGCCTGAGCGGTGTCCCCAAGGATGCTGCGAAATAAGAACATTTTCTAGGAAACTTGTTAAGCGATGGATATACCAAAGATTGATACTGGATGGATGGGCGAACGCTTTTGTATTACTAGAGAGTACGGCATGATATGAGTAAATGACATGGGCATGACATGCCTTTACCGACAACGCGATGTTCGTTCCGTGATGGCCAGAAATCGATGTAGGTTCAAACGGTGAGAATATACGTCTGAACTTGAGATTGTTGCATGGGGACTTCTTCCTGTGACGGATGAGATCTTGAGTGATTCCTGGCAGCTCATCATGCCATTTGGGACATCTCCGACTTGGCGTGATCCCGTGGCATGCGTCACTGAATTGCAAAATCTGGATTTAGACGATAGACATTGGACATAGCATCGCCAACTCTTTACGCCAGTCCCGTCTAAATTGAACTAGCAACTCCATTTTGGGATATAGCTCCTCCATAAATATATGATGCATGGTTATGAGGTTACACACTCTAGCAACGTATGCTCCTAGTCTAGCCACAACTGCTGCTCTTTCTTTTCTACATTGCAACTTGCAAATTTCGGTGTCTTCTTATGTGACCAGTGTCTCTCTTTCCCATCTCTTGTAGTGCCATAGTTGTTGAAAGGTTGTTCCTGAATGATGGGTATATCCAGGGCAAAAACCTTAAGCAAGGGACGCCCTTCCCCATGATGATAAAATTCATTCCCGTAGAAGTTCATATCAGCACAGCGTTGTTATTTTCGATTGCCCCAAACCTTCAAAGAAATCTGCACTCTTATGAGGAGAGCCTTTTATCACGCAGCCCTCTCTCAGGTACGAGAAATGGCTCTCATCAGTTAAAGAACATACTGTTCAAATACCTTATATGTGGCCATTCTTGCAGCTTGGTTATCCGTGCCTGCGCTTTCTGCGCTTTTATTTCACAAACAAGTAGCAGGTACTGACTCCAGTCTGTTCCTGCTTCATGGAATCTTGTCATGTGCTCTTGCTACCTCTGGTTCCCGCTTCTATCCCCCGCCCCTTCCACTGGCCTGCTCACTTACTCCATCCCGGAGTAAGACTTCTTTCCAAGTCATACAGACAGCCCGGCTATCTACCTAAGGCAAGAACTGTTTGTTTTTCCCTCTTGCCCTAAAACGGCCTGCCCCAGGTACTGTTGCCATCCATCCACTTCTCTCTTTCCTTCTGCTTCCTCAAAAACACCCACATCCTGAAAATCTTCCACACCACAACACGCATCCCACCGGGGCAAATATTGCCATCACTATCACTCACTTATTTTCTCCTGTACCACTCGAGTAAAACTTCACACTAGGCTTCTGTCTTACGTCTTCTTTACGTCGATTCCCATCAGGGACGGCATCTACGAATCCTTAACCAGCAGGAAAGGTCCAAGAATCTCCAGCGGTAAGTCTCCAGCAAGCTGACCTTCTACTGCCGTTTTCATCTGTCACTCGTCATTTTGCCGTGATCATCACCACTGCCACTTCTTTCCTTACCCTCCACTTGTTTCCTGATTGGCATCTCAATTCTGCGCCTGCTCTACAACTTTCTCGGGGCAAAAAACGGCGGGCAGCACGACCATCTTGGGTGCTCAACCCTTTCTGACAGATATATATCTGAACGCCAGAACCAAACCACGACATCAAACTAGCGAAAATCTCAGATTGACTTTCAGTTTGCCTGCAAACATGGGATCCTGGGACACCGACAGGAAGGCGGACAAAATGCCCAGTCATCGCCTCCAGGCAGCGTCTTCGTCACTGACCAATGAAGAACTGGTCCAGCGTGCAATGATGGTTAGTAGTTGCTTTTGCATCTGGAACTCGTTCTTACTGTGTGTGACTGACATTGAGAAGGCCGACCTCGGTATGGACCGAATCAATGAGTTGCCTCTCGACGACACCCCGAAAAGGCATGTTATACCGCCGCGTGCCCGCCGCGCTCCTGCGAACGTGGAGAATACCGAGGCTCTCAACGGCTACCGAGGTATGCTTTCTCTATCTACTTCACAGGACAGTATCTCGACTAATGAAAATGATAGCGCTTGCAGAGACAGGAATGGATGATGCTGAAGCCATGGCTGCTAGGCAGCTGCCTGACCTAGGCGGCTCCAATGTATATCGTCCAACCCTTGCGGCTGGTCCAGCCAGACACCTGCCCGAGACACGTCGACCCAAGTAAGGCGACTCCTCTCCTCTGACAGAAGCCCAACTAACAATAATAGCGCGACGAACTTTCAAGGCATGCAAACCAACCAGAGTGGTATTCTCATGCCTCCTGGCTCCCAGCTTCATCGATACCCTTCGACTAGAGCTGCCGATGAGCCCCGCGCAAATGTCCAGGGAAGCAGGGTCACGCTTACTACCCCTTCCACGGCCAGGCCAGCTGCCGCAGGCTCTAGCACTGCTAGAGCTGGATCTACTGAAGCGACTAACATGCCCTTGCCGCCCCATCTGAGAGCCAAGAGCACTCAGAATCTTCCAGTTGCCGCTCCTAATACTGCCATCTCGGCCCCCACGCCGACTTCGAACGCCTCTCCCAGTGTCAAAGGCAAGGAGAAGGAGAAATCTGAAGATACCACGAAGCAGCCTCAATTGGCTGATGAGAACTCCGAGGTCCACTGGGCTGGCCGTTGCAAGGCTCAGGCTCGAGGCAAAGAGCATGACATTGTCATCAAGTTGAAGACCATCGAGTCTGACGAGCACCCCAATGGACATGTCGTCTGCATCATTGTATGCCCTGGCGTCTTCGACCAAGCCCACAGCATGAACGATTACACTCTGGACTTTCACAAGAATCACATGTGTATCGTCAGTTTCGGGGCTTCCGCGTCGAGGCCATCAATGCGATACAGCCTCAAGTTCGATGACTCCGAGACGGCTGCCGACTTCGTTCAGCGTGCGGACATGCTGCAGAAGGTGATGAAATATCTCCGCGAGATGGCTGCTTCCCAGGATGAGGTGGACACGGGCGCCGTCGCTCCCGTCGAGTCGGCTGCTCCCGAGGCCGCTCGCCCCACCCAGACCGCCGTTCAGGCCACTGAGGTGGCGCCCATGAAGAAGGATCATGGCGAGGAAGACCTGACGGATGCTTTCAGCAATCTGAAGCTGACCAATGTCAAGGGTTCCCCCATGTACACTACAGACCGCCCTCCTCGGGTCCAGTACAGCCCTGAACAGTTGTTGGAGAGACGTTCTTCTGCTGAAGCTCCTGCCGGAATCAAGGACGTCAAGATCCCCCTGGAAAAGGACAGCCGAAGTGAGTTCTCCAAGCTGCCGCCTCACCTGCAACAGAACCAGAAGTTGCGAGCTTCCCAGCCAAATAACGAGGCCGCAAAGCTCATGGACTGGATTTCGGGAACTATGCAGACACAGACAGGCACCGGCGATGTCTCACAGGTCTCAATGCCTGGTTTGTCTGAAGCTGTCAACCACCATAAGGCAGTCGCTACTACTCCGCAATTCTCAACTGGCACTCAAATACCACGCAAGGAATCGACTGAGAGCAACCTTGATAAGAATACCGACAGCAAGGCAGAGAACAAGGAGAACAGTGCAATCAAGCTAGAAGTCACTGATGCACCCAAGAATAAGATCGATATCGACGCCGAGACCCAGGTGCAAGTCCAAAGCAGCATTGCGAAGACGTCCAGTGACAGCACGCAAGCTTACGGAGAGAACACTGCAAAGGAACATGTGCCCAATGGCACCGCTATGGAGTCGACCAATCCATTTGATGCGGGTGCCAGTACTGAGATCGAGCATGCGCATGTCCAGAAAGCATCTCAGGATGTTCTTCCCAAAGAGCCTCTGATTCCTTCCAAGACTGCTGAATCAGACAAGGGGGACGCGATGTCTGACGCTTCGCACGACTCGGCTGTTGAGTTCGAAGCTCCCGTCAAGGCTGAGCCAGATGTCACCGCGCCAGCGCCCACTCCTGTGAAGAGTCCCGAGACCGCCCCTGCAGTTCCATTCAACCCCACAAGCTACATTATGCCTGCTGGCATCCCTATGCCACAGATGACGCCGGGCCAAGTGCACTACGCGACCCAGATGCAACCTCAGATGCATCCCCAGGCCATGATTCCTGGAATGTACCCGTCGGGCGTCATTCACGCTGTCACGGTCACGTACCACATCAGCTATCCGGATTCCGAGGTGGGCATGGGTATGAACGGCCCAGTTCACCAAAATGGCGGGACGTTCTCGCCCAACGCAGAGCCATTCCAGCCCATTGGCCTTGGCCATGGGCAAGTCCCTCGACAGCAGGGCAGCGACCAGCCTCGTACGCGCCGGGGACTGGGAGGCTCTATGTTCGCTACAGGCTATAGCGCAGCCAAGTTCCCCGGCAGCTTCACGGGGGCCGCGGCCGAGTGAGATGAATGTGTGAAGGAGAATGGTTCTCAGTATTGCATAGATAGTTGGGATGCGAGTCTCCACCGATATCCAGCACAATTGGTTGAGCAGAAGTGCCGGTTACGTGGTCGGGACGGGACGGGACAGGACAGGACCTCATAATAGTTCTGGCACGACTGAGTATCGACAGCGAGTAATAAAGAACCCTAAAGCAATGGCCGAACACATGACCGTACATTTCTCATTCGTGAATCCATTCGTCATCTTCTCGACTGGTAACAACCTCATCGACCTTTAGGCGGAAGTCGACAATCTCCTTCCCATTCACCAGATCGTTTTCCCTTGCCCTCTTATCGGCTTCCTCCTCGTTCTTTGCAATGCCTGCCTTGACATGTCTCCCTATCAAGCGCTTCCTCGCCACCTCGAAGTCCACGTCTACGAACCAAAGCTCGTCCATGAGCTTCGCAGCGTCGCTCCACGGCGGCTTGTCGAGCGTAAGGTAATTTCCCTCGAACACGACGATGCGGTGATACGGCTGGATAGCGATGTCGTTCTCCTTGGGATCTTTGACGGCGTGGTCGAAGCTCGGGGCGTATATCGGGGAGGAGTCGGCCCTCAGGGGTTCCCGGAGGGACGTGACGAGCTTGTGGAAGGCGGGGCCGTCGAAGGTGAAGGCGGCGCCGCGGCGGGCGTGGGCGGTTTGCGGGTCGGGCATGGCGGAGAGCTGGACGTGGGTGAGGTGGTAGCCGTCCATGGGGACGAAGGCTGCGGGCGAGTGGGCTGTGCGGATTGGGTTTGAGGGGTCGAGGGTCTTGGCGCGGGCGTTGAGGTGGGTTGTTACTATTTGGGAGAGGGTTGTTTTGCCTAGTTTGGGGTGTGAGAGGCTGCATTGAGGGTGTTGAGTTGTGGATGAGAGAGGGTATCAAGTTGTAGTTACCTGAGCCTGGGATGCCAGATATTCCTATCACTTTGGGACATTAGTTTGGTCTTGTACAATTGGGTGGAACCTGATTGAGATGGGTGACGCAGTCATCATGGAACAGGGGTATCACTGAGAGCAGAAAGCTCCAATGTTTGGGCCAGGTAGCTCCGGGACATGATACGAAGGGCGTATATATACTCACAAAGGCGTTTCTCTTCAGGCGTCTCTTGGAACTTGTTCCACGCCTTTTCTACCAGCCTAGCTACTTGCTGCTCCATTTCAACTATTTTGATCAGAAGGAAGAGCGGCAAACAGACACTGTTCTGTCTTTCCTTCGTATATGTGTAGGCCAAAGCTAGGTAAGGTAGTTGAAGTCAATTAAAGGTTTCACGGGACGGGAAGATCGGAATGAAGGGACGGGAGAGGCGGGGGGTTAGAGTGGACGGATGAGGTTCGAGCTTCGAAGCTTCTCGGCCCGCTAGGTGCAAAAACGGCCCCACCAACCCCGCCATGCGGCTTGATGTCATGTTGGGGAAACCGTTTCGGCAGGACTTGCTTGTAAAAAATTTGCAGCCAGAGCATAAAATGTATTGTTTAGTTGCATAATTTCACATAGTCAGTCAGTCCCTTCCAGCGTGCCGGTATCTGTACGGATATCTTGGTGATCAATCGCCGAACTGGATACCCGACCACCTGGACCACGACGGAGCAATCAGAGTGGGGATTTCATTTTCTTCTTTGGACGTTCGTTTCCTCGAGACTTTGAGCGCCCGGCGAAACTGGTCATTCTTGTTGTCGACTTACGAAATAGAGCAGCGGCAGGGCTGAAGAGATTATACTCCGAACCCTCGAAAGGAATTTCACAAAGTTCTAGGATCTTTCCCTACCCTGGATTTGATCTACTTCCACGGGCCACACCTGCACATACAACCTGCAAAGATGGCCGACGAAGAAGGCGACCTCTTCAACATCGCCATCGACGACTCTGATGAGGAGGAGCAGAAGCCCAGAGACTGGCAATCGGAAGAGGACTTTCAAAATCTTCGGGCTACGTATCGGGTCAAGGTGCAAGACGGCGATGTGAGTCATTATTTTTCCTTGCTTCCTTGATATCTTTCTGCGCAGAAACAATATGTACTCTATATCGTTGGCTTTGTATTTATGCCTTTGCAATGGGGTATGCGAGGGGCGATAGTTTTCGATCTTTCAATCCTGCTTTTCATGTTCTCATTTGGCAGCCCTTTTCGAAGCTCGGATGGACTTCCGATGCAAGCCACCCGGCTTTCTCCACCTGCCCGGAGAACCCTGAACCACGGAGCACACCCCCTCCCCCTCCCCTTCCGCCTGCTTGCCCCCTCTATTCTTGCAGCAGACAATCATCACAAAGGGTAGTTGTAGACTAACACATACTTGCCTTGCTAGGTTTGGCAGACAATAGAGCTACCGCTCAACACGGAAAAGGCCAGCAAGCCTGTGTTACAAGAGCTCCTGCATGCTGTGGAAGAGCTCTACTTCCTACGCCGGTTCGGCGAGGCTGCGGCGTTTGCGAGGCGGGTCCTGGACGGGAGCGAGGCGGCGCTGGATCGGGATACCAAAGAGACGCTGGTTCGGTATGAGGAGAAGTGCCGGGGCCGAATGGAGAAATGAAGGGTTTACCGACCTTATCTAGAAGGGATACCGTGGTGGCTTTGAGCAGGTAGTTCTTTACATTCAGCTTAGAGTTTTGTTGGGCAGTGACTTGCGGCAGTACATGGGATGAGGCATTTCTATTGAATCACGATGAAACGGGTGGACAATTCCATGTTGAGGCAATGAAGTTTGCTGATCGTTGTGAGGGGTCTATTATTTCTAAAAAAAAAAAAACACTCTAATTCTGGTCGCAATGGACCTTGAGAAGAAAATGTCTTGTCTGAGGAAAACCCCCGGATGCTCTATCATGTAGGGATATTCCTGAACGCCGAATGTCTTTGTACAGTTGGGGATGGTGGTTATTCTCTCTAAACCTGAATGGTTTGAGTGGAAGATCCGCATCCACGTCTTTAGGCTTGGCCCTGAAAAAAATGTAATGTCTGAACGCCGTCTAAAAACCCTTTTTCCGAATCCTTTTGTGGTGATGCTGCCCGCTTGTTGAGAAAAGATGTAAAAAATGACGAGGAACGCTGCATAACGCGAGTATCGTGTTGCAAACCGGGGTGGGAGAAGGAGCAAGAGTCGACGTGGTAGACTCTCAAACCATACCCATCATCATCAGAAGCCTCATGCTGCCATGGCGCCCTGGCGAACACGCATCTCGCGCTCGCGCTCCTCGGCGAACACCCGCCTGCTCATAGCCAAGACCATCTCGAACCCCTCCTTGCCCTTTTGCGCATTGTTGCGGAACTGCGACACGCACTGGTCTTCGATGCCGTTCTTGATGCGCTGCCAGCCGCCGCAGAGGGCGGTGATCTGCGCGTCCTGGACGAACTGCGTCTGCGTCGGGCTGACGGGCTTGTAGACGACGGACTCCTGGACGGAGATGAGGTTGGCGAAGGTCAGGTTCTGGGATACCATTGTGACGGTCTTGTTGGCTGGGTCGACGTAGGAGGTCTCAAAGACGTGGGAGACGTCCGGGTCGCCGCCGCCGCCGCCGACGAGGGAGGCGAACCACTTGGGCGCGGACTGCTTGCAGGTGATGAGGCGCTCGGTGCGGAGGATCCCCGTGGCTGGGTCGACGCTGCGCCCGATTGTGTCGACGGCGATTACGTGCGTCGTCTTGTCGTTCCACGGGCAGTATTTGCGCCAGTTTGCTGCTGAGACCTCTTCCCAGGAGTAGTTGAATGTTACTGCGTTGGAGAAGACCTTCATTTTGAATGTGACTTTTTGTGGTGGTTGATACTACTTCTGGGTATCGGGTTTTGCGGGCGAGGTAGGAAAGGAAGCTCGTGTGATGGAGCGGGCGGGAAAGTTTTTGTCGCTTTTTTTTTTCTGCCTCTAGTGTCTTCGGATCTAGTTCGGGGGGATTCGTGTAGGTGTCGTGGATATTCGTGAATGAGAACGAGTCAAGCTGGTTGATATCTCGTTGTTTGTTTGTTTATCGTCAAGCGACAGTGATGAGTCAACTTCTTGTGATGTAGGGAAAAAATGGAGGAAGAGGGAGGTGATTGTTGATATAAGGGATGCAAAAATAATAGGTGAACCTTGCTAGTAAGGAAACCGGACGGGGGTGAGAGAAAAAAAAAAACCGAGAGCAGCAGCGCGCTGCGAGCTTCGGTAGGCCGGAGGGTGGAGCAGGTGTCGTGTGCGGGTTTTTTAGGAAGCAGATCTGACCAACCAAAGCGTGGCAAAACGCTTCCCAAGGCATCAAGGCCCCCACAAGGTTTTCTTGCGCTGGAAATTTCTCTGTGGGCTTTTGGTGCAAGCACTGCTACCACTGCAGCAGTTTGCATTCCTTCCCTCCAGGGCCAAGTGGCCCAGCCGGTGCCCCGGAGAAAGATGGGAATTCGGGGTGGCGCGTGCGAACTCGCAGCGAAGGAGGCACGAAAACTCCACCGCAGGGAGCGCGCTGTCTGGCTCGGCTTGGGGCCTCCTACCTCGCCTAGCTGCCTGATTCGGGTATGGCGCGCATGGACCGCGTCAATGGAGATGGAAAACGTCGGAGACAAGGGGGGAGGGGACGGGATGGGGGTACCAAAGGCCCAGCACCTCCCACGACGCGGGCTGGCCGCCGATGTGAAATCGCTGGTTGCATGTGATTGGCCTAGAGGTGGATCCGCGGATGGGCATTTGTCGGTTCTCCTCTTTCCAAACGCCATTTCTCGCTGACATCCGTACCGTTCCCGTTACCCAGCGGGAAGGCGGAAGAGAAGTTAAGTCGGCGAGTAAGCGTCCGAGCTCTTCCTCTCTTTCCCGCCTCTTACACACACACACACACACACACACACACACACATACATCCATGGACGAATACACTATTCGCCCAGCCCGAGAGTGTGACGAAGAAGGGACGACGAAAATCAGGTTCCGCCAAGGCCCCTTTCTACTACAGCCCCGACAGCCGACCCGCGGCCGACGCCTCTTACGCTACCTGGATATCCGAGGTGGATAGGTATCGGATGAAGCTGTCATGTCCTCCTCCGTGCTTCTGGACGCCGCCGATCGGACCCTTGGAGAACCAGAGATGCGCGGATTGGCGGTGGAGAACGAAGTGGATATGGCGGTTCCAATTCGCCGACCAGTGAACGGTCGTGACGGTGCACCGGACAATGTCTCGGCGGGGGCGAATGGGAAATGCCTATGAGTGGTCGTCGGTTCTGGATCGGCCTATGATCTTGCCTCTACATGCTTCTGATTGACGCCATAGTGACACGCCCCAGCCTCAAGTGGCGCAGGGGTCCTCTCTAGCTCCATGCTTAGTAAGGCAATCGCTGGGTTCCGTGTGGCTCTACCTACTTCGCCCGGCGCCCGTCTTCATCTGCGGGTTCCGATCGGTTTCCATTCCGGGCTCGAGGTGATGGCATCTGACATCACCGCAGACCGCCAGTAGATGGAAACACGCGGAGACGGAAGCCTTCGATCCGCAAGACCACCGGCCATATTGTCCATCGAGTCTCCCTTCCCGGAGCATTGTGTCGGAGCTGGTCTCCACTATGATTTGCTCCGTTGTGCCCGGCTACGGGACGGTATCCCGTTATGGGGCCGGAAAGGACTGGCGAACTTAAACAACGTATGACTTACGGGTCAAGACAGGGCTGCGAACATGCTGACACGGCAGGCTCTGGGCTTTGTCTGTCGATAGCTGAGTGTAACTGCAGCATACGGATTCGAGTAGATACATTTGAGCATTCTGGCTACTTGTGATAGCATCTCAGCGTTACTGAGCGTTGTGCGAAGTAATGCCGATAAATCAGCATGGGGAACTCTAGCCTCCCGGGATGCGGACACTCGCTGTGCCCTGGAGGCAGACGTAACGCTATTCCCAAATGCAGTGTTGTTTACAACAGACTGACACTTGATGCCTTTAGAAATGGTTCAAGAACTCACTCAATGTCGTGCGCTCTCGGCAAAAATTCAGGTATGGTCATGTTGGATTCGATTGTTGGGATTTTTATGTATATCTGAACGATAGTCTTGATAAGTGGAAGGGAAACCCACGACAATACCTATCCTTGGCCGGTTTCACCCCGCCTAATAATCCTCTCCTCGGCTGATTACTTCCTTGACGTTTGGCCTGAGCAGGATGGTCTGGATGGCATATATTAGCATCAGCCCAGACAAACAATGGGAGTCATCACTTACGTGCTCGAACTGAGCTGTGTAGGAGCCCTTTTTATCACACAAGGGCGGGTAAGCCTCGACAATGCCGCTGGCAACGAGGTTGTTCAACTGTTATTCGTCAGCTCACATTCTTCAGTCAGCGGTGGAGATGCCAACTTACACCAAGGAGATACTTGTCCTGTCCTAAACGGTCCAGATAACGCCGGCAGAAAGGCAGGGTGCCAAAGTTCTTGTTGATGACGTTCAACAGCCTCTTGGCCGAATCTAACCGGAGCGCGGCATGGCCCTCTCCACGCTTGGCGTAGTGAGACACCTCCATATCTTCCCTGACATATCCATTGCCCGTGCTACCAAACGTCTCGACAGCGAAGACATCACCCTCCTCCATCTTTGTCGTGTCGTTGCTCTTGACGATGGGCACGCTCTTGGTGCCGTGGATGCTCCAACGCTCAATCGTGTGGCCGTTGAGGTTGCGGATCGACTTGACGGGGTACGTCACGCCGTCAATCTCGCACTCGTAGCTCTCCATGACCTCCTGGATAACGCCGCCGACGTCGCCCACGCGGACGTCGATGCCGGCCTCCTTGACACCGGCGTTGGTCGCGTCCTTGACGGCCGCGAGGAGGTTGTCGTACTGCGGCTCAAAGGCCATGGTGAAGGCGCTGTCGACGATGCGTCCGTTGACGTGCACACCAAAGTCGACCTTCATGACGTCCTCCTGCGAGAGCACCATCTTGTTGCCGGCGTTGGGCGTGTAATGCGCCGCGCAGTGGTTGAGGGACAGGCCGCACGGGAAGCCCATGCCGCCCTTGTATGCGTCGCCCTCCTCGAGACCCGGGTGTCCCGTCAGCGCACGCACGCCGTCCTCGATGCCCTCGGCAATCTCGGTCAGGGTCTGGCCAGGCTTGATATTCTTCTGCGCCCATTGGCGGACCTGGCGATGGATCTCGGCGGCCTCGCGGTAGTCTGTCAAGAAGTCGTTGTTGAGGTTGTCGAGGTGGCGCTTCTCCTCGTTCGTCGTGCGGTAGAGGTTCTCGTCGCGGTACTCCTCCTCCTGGCCCTTGGGGTAGTTCTTTTGGGGGAATAACGAGGACATGAGCACGCGCGGCGGGTCGGACTGGGCGGTCGGGGACTTCTTCTTCTTCTTCTTTTTGTTCTTCTTCTTCTTCTTGGCTGCTCCGCCGGCGGCAGGCGCCGTCACATCCTCGCCCTCCTCATCCGAGTCGTCGCTGTCGTGGTCGACCCCATTTCCCTCCGCGGGCTTCGCTGCCTTGCCGTTCGTCGCAGGCTCTCCCACTGTTGGAACAAAAAATCATTGATTAGCATAGAGGTCCGAAGTTGACGGGAGAATAGCCGGTAGCTACGGCGAAGAGCGCCATACCGTTGAGCTTCTTCAAAGCTTCTGTGGGAACTTGGGCAGCCATCTTGGCATACTAGATTTCGCGTATGGTGTGAAGTTGGTGGTGGGAGCAACACAGATTTTGAACCCCACCTGGTAAACGCAACTGCGCGGGGTAAGCCCCCCTAAGTCGTTAACCGGGGGGTTGCCCCCTTTAAGGAATGCAATGTCCAATCCCGTTTCACCTGGTAAGAGCTTCCCACAGGCGCGGTGAAAAAATATTCCCTAAACTCGGGTACGGAGGTAAATAACAGTCACCTGATTCGTCTGGTCCAAGGAATACCGTTCGTCTATTCCCGGGTCAGGAGTCGCAAAATTTCCCCCAGGGGAATTGGGAACAGTAAAAAAGAAAAAAAAAAGCCAAGTCTGCGGCCAAGCGGTCCACCCCCCATCAAAAATCACCATGGGAGGCGCGTATTCTTGCAACTCTGGCCTTGCTAATTACAAGGTTCCAGACGCCTATTACCCGTGGGCTGCGACTAGGCTGCGGGTTGCACGCGGCAGATCGTGGTTCAAGTCGGCTAAGTTTGCTTCTCTTACACGTCACAACGTCATTTGATCCCTATTTTTAGGCTCGACTCGCCTCGTCTTGCCTTATAAGTGTCTCGAACCAGGAACATGCAACTTTACGCACTTCACTTCTGCATGGAACCATAATTGCCTCCAATGATTTTTTTTTTACCGATTTTTGTTTCCTCTGCAACTTCAGTGAAGCAAACCCCCATGATCTAAACCGACTTGAGCGAGTGACTCGAGTTAAGTACAGACTTGAGACGACACTTTCAAACACAACTTTTGCCGTGAACCCGAGATGACGGCTCATTCTGCTCCTTTAGTCGACCCCTTCAGACAATAAGTGTAGTAGTCGCCGCCCACTTAGTTCACAATGCACCGAGCAGAGAGGGAACCGCAGTCATGGGCGACACCGTAGTCGCAGCATCTGCCGCTGGGCGAGCACTCGTAAATGTGGTTGGCGATCCTCTTACTCGTCACTACGTAGCCTCTGTCGCGGCTCCAGACGCAGTTGCCGCAGACGGTGAGTTGCTTGTTCTTGCTGTCGCACTTGCACCCGTTGTAGTTGCAGGCCCTCTTCTCTAGACCCGTCTCTTCCTTCTTCTCCAGTGTGGCCACGGGCTCGTCCGTGTCAGCCCGCGCGGCTATGGCGTAAGGTTCATCCTGCTGGGCGACGCTAGCCTGGGCGGCTGCGGCGAGGAAGAAAATGGTCAAGGAGGTGGCAAAGCGCATTTTGGGCGAGTTTCTGAATCATAGAGCTGATTAGTCGTCTTTCGAATCAAGAGACTTTGATATCTGGGCCTTACCTTTGATTCCAACAGTTCACTTGAGGCTCAAGCAAAATTCAACAGCTGTAGTTGACTTGGTTTGAACTTCTCAGCTAAGATGACTATTTCCCTGACTTTGCATGGCTTTTATAAGCTTTTGGACAATGCTTCATGATCCCATGCTCTGGCTTCCAAGTCGATTCATCAGGCTTTCGATGCAAAGGAGTAATATCATGCCCGTCTTACTATTCCGAGGAGATCAGCATAGCTGAATGGTACATACTTCTCAAGTTGATTCAGCTGAAAGACAGACGATCAACATAGTGTGGTATAGCTGCGGGGTTGATAGACAGAGAGCAACACCGGATTGGCTGCCTTCTTAACGGTATGTGTCTAGCAACTTGAGCCTGCAGCTCATCCTTCTACGTATGAGTGTGTAGCCTCTGTCAGCCGTGTTGCTGTACCTTATTTATGCTACCATCCGGCCGGGTGTATTGTCTAGTCATGTATTTCAGTGCCGCAGGGCTTGCGGTGACTTTCGACGGATTCCTGTGGTAGAGCCCAAGCCAGTAAAACATTGCTGTAATGTTGCATTCGAAAAGGTGTGGTTAACCAGAGACAACTCTCAGTAGCTACACACTAAATCAGCCAAGAAGCAAACATAAGCTAGACCGCTTGAGAGGGAAGTCGGGCTAGTACTGATGTTAGTCTGTCCGACGTGAGCCCTTGTGGATATTGAGGCGATAAGTGACATTCTATAGTCGGTTTCGATGACTTTCGGGTGGTTCTGTCTCTACCCTCGACCTATAACCCTAGCAGTAGGGCGTTTGCATGCATACATGATCTCTCTCACGCTGTACCTCCTCTTCACATTCCGAGCAAGTATGACAAACTGTGTCGAGTATACCTGAGTCACCAGCCAGCAGGTCATTCTAGATGTTGCGGGGTAGAATCGAAATGCTCCAATGATACATAATCCACGCCCTTGATCATGACTTAAAGTCGAAGCGCTTTGAATCGGTCAAGATCTTGACATACCCTCGGAAGATCATGGTCCAAACTGAGAAGAGCCTTGATGTAACATGAGTCAACCCTCAAGCTGTTACGGTGCATACGCAGTACAACGTGATATCCCAAGTACGGCCGAGTAAGCACCATTTCCTTGCAGCTATGTCTGTTTGTGGATGGCTAAGTGCATCTTTAGGTAAGTTACATCAAGTAGTTTGGTTTCTACTCACTGGACGCGTGAGGATTGAGGCGAATTTTAACTCCTACAAGTTACTACGTCCTGCCTGGCCCAACTAAAAACGAGGAGCCAGTGAGTGCATCCTATACTCATGCAGTCCAGGTGCGCAGTCCAGCTTACGAGCCAGATAAGATTGTGAGTACTCGAAAAGTACTGGCGACTTACCTAGTCGAGAAAAGAAGCATCGATATGCCATGATCCAGAATAGATGATGAACAAGGGTTCTTATCTTGTTTTTGCCACAAAATTCGCCTATCAGTGTCTCTTTGAAATGATATCATTCCAAGATGACCATCTAGACGTAAGAAGCCATGGTAGAATCTTATTGACACTAACTAAGTAGCGATTATCCACTCAATTGGGTATTTTGGGTAAAGACCGAAAACTTCTCGTGATATTCGAAAGTTTTATCCTGCAAACAAATGTTGGCCATGAGGCAATGATTAACTTAGACTGTCATCAATACATCACAGATCGAATCCTAAGCTCCAGAGAATCTCGTTTCATGTCCCGACACTGCAGAAGCATTGTGGATATTGTTGACACATTGGGGGTTCCGGGTTTGCCCTTCGATCTATAGAGAGCCAAGTTAAACCTTCAACGAACTTCCAAGCACCAAAGAATATCTGAATATCGAAATATAGGAGAACTAGAGATGTTGAATGAGCCTCGATAATTCCAACCACTCCCGTAACACAAAGACATCGCCAATATTCTCATTACTTCAAGAGAAAATTTGACGGCCGTTGCACTACATCTTATCAATGATTGCCACTCTTTGTCCTTCTGTGTTTTAATCCCACCAATTCCAAATTGGACCTTTGAGAATTGATATTCATATACATATAGCCATAAAACCTTGGAGATTCAAGCACTCTCGAGTCTCAAGCCTTCTGGTGACCATGTTCACTGCAGACACTTCTAGGCTAAGCTGTCTACGTCTCGAGCTCGTGAGGACATCATCTTCGACGCACGGGCTGGCCTCAAATACTCCATGGTCTTGCGCCTCCACGTCTCAGTGCTCCTGAGAGACTCTCACGATGGCCTTCCGCGGCCAGAGTGCCTTCCCCCACCAAAGGAGACCCATCCAAAGGCAAGAACAAGAGCGCCCTGTAGACTACTAGAAGTTTCAGGCCCCATCCTTCTTCGAAATCAAATCCCCAAGTTCGTTCCTGGACTTTCCACTTTCCAAATCCATCATCAGCTTACCTTCATCCTCAAGGTAGCTGTCGGCACCCCAACATCCATCAATATTCGAAAACCCACGCTCGAAGCATCGATATTATGGAGGGCAAAAAGGACATCAAGGATTGCGTTCTCTGCGGTAAGGCCTGCAAGAAAGCCACCCGCAAGGATTTCTCCTGTGGTTGCGATCCCTACTGCACCACCTGCGCGACCGCCTATCTGAAGTCGTGCATCTCGAAGCCGTTCCGCAAGCCCAAGTGCGACGGCGGCTGCGGATCCCAGAAGCCCTTTCCTGATCTCTGGGCCCGTCAGCTGCTCCGCCGCAAGGAGGCCAAGACCTACTTCGACCTCGCCGACGAGGCCGATGAGGTCTCCCGCAACGCCGCCTTGTACTGCCATGACACTGCCTGCGGCCGCTATATCCCGCTTCGTTACCGCTTCGGTCTGAACAACGACGCCGGCACCGTCGGCGGCACTGGTACTTGTCCCTGCGGAAAGCTCACCTGCATTGGATGCGGCGACAAGGTTCACCAGGGCGAGACCTGTGCCGAGGTTGAGGCGCGCTGGAAGGCGGAGGGAAAGCTCAAGGAGGAGCTTGAGCGTCAGAGTCATCGTATCATGGAGCAGTTGAGCATCAAGCAGTGCCCTGTCTGTCAGTCCCCTGCTGAGAAGGCTGATGGTGGCTGTAATTATGTTCAGTAAGTTCCTTTACTCCATGTGGAAATATCTCCTTTGGCATTGTTTCTTCTTACTTTTTTGAGCGGTCACTTATTAATTTTCTTGCGCGGGTGTTTAGATGCGCGTCTTGCGAGAACACTTTTGACTGGGACGAGGCAAGCGTTATTGACCACAGCAAGTTTGTCGACGGCAAGCCTGGCGATGGCAAGCCCGAGGGCATCGAGTCAGAAGTTGAGAAGTCTGTTCATGACAACTTGGAGTCATTCGAGTTCAACCCTTTCGAGGACAAACCCGCCGATAACGAGTTCGCCGAGAGCAACGCCGCCAACGCCAACTCTTCCGAGGCCATGGCTATCGATGAGCCTGCCGAAACTATATAGCCTCCCAGCCTAACTCGGTCTATCGTCTACAAGCCGTCAGCTCGCATGAAAGTCAAACGCGTTCCAGCCGACTTTTCGTGCCGTAAAAGCAGAGGCAAAGATGCAGTGGAAGCTACTTGTATACATGTTCAACCACCAAATGTGAGTTATCGACGTCCCAGGTATCTCTTGATGGCATATGGTCACTTCCCCCATCTTCATTCCGACCAAAGACTGACAAATTGTACGTTCAGGACGACTCTTGATGGCTACACGGCTGTCTGCCCTCCTTTGGCTGCTTTTGAAACTTTCTGAATGCCTCAGTTCGAGTTAATTACCAGATCATATTGCTACATGGCAGCGATACGGGCTTGCTTGTCGGCATTGGACGAACGAGCAAAGTCGTGGATAGAGAGGCAAGAGCAACGAGGGATGATGGCTAAGCTGGGAGAAGACTGAGGTATAATGACGGATCGATGAGAACTCATGAAGGACTGAGGAAACTTTCAGGACAGAACGGTTTAGTTGGTAGAAGTACCAGTAAAGTTACAAAAATCAGAATCCCCGAGCCCATGATTACGCTGCTCAACATGCCAGACCCCGAGTAAATCCGCGCCTCCCAAATGCAAAACCAAAATATCGAATCCGACCATCTAAACCGAAACTGAGAAGAAGTCAAGTACCCGGCCTCTGCTCATTCAGGACCTATCCCGAGCACACTTTACTCAATTGCACTGGTCCCCAACCTGCACGAAGAACCCGCCAAGCTCAGAAGCCGTGAACGCAACATTGATATCAACGTCAACATCCGCATCATTCGCAATAGCAAACTCGAAGCTCAAACTCTCACGGCACGAGAAGCTGTTGACGACCTGCACGGTATCCTTCACGACAGCATCATTCGCCACCTCGAGCGGCCCAAAGCTGCCGACCAAGCTGCCCGCAGCGGGACCGTCCAGCGCGCGCACGTCGAGGCGGGCGAAAGCGTCGCCGCCCTGGTCGATGGGGAAGCCCTGGCGGAAGGCGCCGACGAGCTGGCAGGGTCCGGCGGTGGTGGGACCGACGGGGAAGGTGAGGGCTTTGGTGACGACGGTGCCGGAGCGGAGGTCGGCGACGCCAAAGTTTAGGTCTGTGGGCGCGACGAGGCGGCAGCCTGGGGTGGAGGTTTGGCGGCGTTCGGAGGGGGTTGAGCGGGCTGTTGCGAGGCCTGCGAGGGCGGTGATGAGGATTGAGGTGAGCTGCATTGTTGGGGTTGGCAAAGGGGTTTTGTTTTGGTTTGGGTAGTGGTTGACGGCTTGAGATGGAGATTTTGGTACGCTTTTTAGGCTGGAGTTGAAGCTGTTGATGATGGTGTGTGGATGAGAGGGAGGTCTTGAGAAGACGAGGGAAATATCCTGATTTATAGATGTCTTCCCTTGCTCGTTCTCTTCGTGTTGAAGAGGCTTGTTCAGTTCATCACGATACGTCGACGGAGGATCATCAGTTGCTGCGCCCGACATCTCACCAGGCAAGACGAGTTGAGAGACAACATCGCGGCTGATGGGAAGCGAGGGAGAGGTCACAATCCACCAGCACTCAGCTCCCGGGTATCACAAAGAACACCACGAGGCTAACATCCTGAAGTCATCTACTTAGGTAAGGCGAAAGAAATCGACTCCGCCTCACTGAAAAGGCCCGCGGAGACATTGTGTTGTAGTCTTTCCCGGGAAGACTACTTCCCATACGATCACGCTGCTGAGATACCCGTTCGGGTAGAATATCCCAGAAACGATCTCTGGGCTTTTTCCTTGGCCTACAGTATTCTGCTTTGCGTAAATTGCCGCTTCGCGGCAACCGAGGAACCCGGGCTGAGGATCTCAAGCCTGTCAGCACGCCCTCTCCGCTTGGCACGTTCCTTGCTCAGCCATGCTAGATCGAAGCTGACAACGGAAAAGACCAGTCATGTTCAGCCGGGAATTTGAAGAGGCTACTGCCGGGCTAAGCTTACGAAGGTACGCCCTACGTAACTTAGGTAGCCTGCCTTTCCCCAGATTTACATGTTCTAAATATAAGCTTAGCACTTTGACAACCTCCACGAAACATGCATTCTCTCAAGTAGGCAATAAGAAGGAAAGATCAGACTACCTAGTGCCAAATCTAGCTGGCTTACCAATGTCGTCACAGGAAGGCCCAGGGTTCGCGCCTGATTGGATGAGTACTCGTGGGGGGCGGAGCAGACTTTCTCGTGACCTTGGTATATATACTAAAACGCTGGGCCCTTGAAGGATCCGAGTTTTGCGGTGACTTCATTCGGGCCGGTTGGGAGGATTGGGTATATGGCCACGAGCTTGAGGGCCCTATTGGCGATCAGTTCGAGACATTTTGTCGTCAGCAAAGGCAACAGTGAGAGAAGTCTAGGAATAGAGCCCAATGTTCCTGTCTCCATATAACATTTGCTTGCCAAGAGCGACGCCTATACGAGCTCACGAGCTCAAATAGTGGAAAAGGATGAGTACTTTTGTCGGGGAGGCACCGTGTTGAATGAAGGTACTTGAAGCTGGCGGAAGGATGCGAGGCATCTACCTAGTCGATAAGACTGACAGTAGTTCATCTGACGATGCGATTTGGGTATTTCGTTGTACTCACAACATCCTGCTTATTTTCGTATCAGCCCCAAGATGGTGAAGGAGATGTATGACAGGTTGCAACCGAAGAGGCCTCAACTTGTCGCCGGTACACGGGACAGCGGTAGAAAGTTATGCCCGAGTTTGGATGATCTAGCTGGAATCAAACCTTGCAGCTCCCTTCATCTCGTCCATGGGATGAGGCACCTGCCCTCGTCGAGTAGATTCAACTACATTTTTTTCTGGCACGCTGGAACGTGGTCATCGAATAGACCCAAAGTCCGTCGCCCTGTCACATTCAACCTGTTCCACCATTGATTTGCAAGATGTGATGTATGCTGCAGGTATCATTGAGTGGCTATGCTGATTGCAGCCCGAACAAAATAAAAACAAGGAACAACACTCGGCAGCTTGCCTGCGGTCATCCACGCACCGCGCTGTACGGCCTGGCTCCGTGAACCGTAGGTAAGTCATCCCTAATTCTCGGAGCCTTGGCGAACGAGGGACCGCACTGACCCGTCAACGACCCAAAAGAAGCCTCGCCGCTCCTATGCCCGCTCCTGTTCACTCAGCTTGCTCATCTGGCTAGCCATGCTCAGTCCAGTCCCCTTCCTCGTCTCCAGCGCTCTGGACCACCTTTTATTCTCGTGAGCGGGAGGCTTTCCGGACCCGTTGAGTCCGAGAATCTCCATCAACTCGGGTATTTCGGCGTGGTCCCGTGTGGAGCGCATGCGGTGGCACCACGTCACTCTCTTCTCCTCCGGCTCAAAATCATCGCTGCCCTCTCCGTCGATGCCCTCCTTGTTGTCGATGCTATTCTTCTTCGACGTCATGGCTTCCTCGATCTGCCGCTCGGCGTACGGTGTTGAGACGGGCGTGACGAGCTCGAGTGGTTCGAAGAGGAACTCGCCGCCAACTTGTCTGTGGTCGCCTGATTTTGTGGCCAGACCACTCTTGACCTGCTTCAACCCCTGGAACACGCTCTCGGCGGCTGATTTGAGCATGGATTTGCGCATGTAGGCCGGTCGAGCTCCTAGCGCAAGGGTGCGCGTCATGCCCAAGGTGTCGAAGAGACGTCGCGTGGGATCGGTATAGACGGGGAAGGGGCAGCCCGTCTCCTGGAGGTACATTTCAATCAGGCCAGGGTTGCCGCAGCCGACGACGGTGATGAATGTGCTCATGGGAAGACCCAGCAGGGCGTCTGGGGTTATCGATTCGGACAGAGATCGCAGAAATTCCTGACAGTTCTTGGTATGGTTAGCAAGGAGAAGAGTTGTGTAGGGATCACTGGGAGACTTACGCCGCAGAAGAAGTGGCGGATGAAAATGACGAGGACTCGTCTCGCGACATTGCGACCAGTATATAAGCTCTTGAATGTATGGCTCTTTCCATGACGGTCTAGCACTACGTAGTTCTCGATCTTCTTCAGAATCTGGGGCGTTGGCAGGTCGTTGTTGGTGGAGATTTCGCCCTCAAAGTCGGCGGGCTTGGTGTTGTCGATTTCTATCGAGGTCGCTGCCGTATCGGCGCCTTGGGTTGTAGACGTCCTTGGCGACCTTGTGCTCGTTGTCGTGGCGGTGTTTGGTGGATGTACAGACTGGTCGGTGGGCGGCAGTCCCTCCCTGGCATCTATTGATGTCGGCCGAGGAGGCAGACTAGGGTTCGGCTCGTCCCCCGTCGCATCTTGACCGTTCGACGAAGACAGTCCGTTTGTGTCCTCTGCGCTCTTGGGCTCCGGAGCCGTCTTCGACTCCTCGGTTGTTGTCGTAAAATTGGACTCCGCGGCATGTGTAGCTGTCTCCGTGGAGTCAGATGCTTTCTTGGCATCGCCGTTTGCCGGGGCAGGATTGGCGTTGGCGGTGGCAGCCTCAGCTGGAGGATCTGACGGCACAGCAGCCATGACGTCGTAATTTGGGTGGGTTTGAGCGACGTTGGTTCGGGACTTTCGAATCGCGCGCAAATGATGTTCGCTGCGATTTGGAACTTTGGGTAAACCGGGCTCGATTATGTATGTAGAGGGTCTGGGACGCCAAAAAAGAAACAGATCTGGATTTGTTTTTCTGATGGCTAAGACCAGACTAAAGGTAAGGTAGACAGACGATAGGTGGTCTGGAAGGAGGCGCAGCAGCTCTCAGTGGCCAGGATTGTACTCGTAATGGCTGAATACCAAGGAACTGGGCGAGAGAAGGCACCCGAGTGGACTGGGGGGACCAAAGGGGAAGGGGGAAAGCACGCCGCACCACCGTGGAGTGTGGACGGCTTCTCGAGACTCAGCCAGGCTCCTCCTGCCCACCTCACCTCTTTGGTTCCAGGTCCTCTCTTCAGGTTTTCTTCAACCCTGCAAGTTTGCTATCCAAGCCTCCAGCTACCAGTTATTATCAATTACACCCACCGTGCCACCCCGACGTCGATAGTGGCAGCGCTACGATTAGGTGCTTAGCATCGCACGGCAAATGAAAAGCCGTTTTTTGCGCGCGGCTTGCAGCTGGTTGGCGATTGCAGGGTCCAACCTGAGGAAGGGGGGGGAATCAAGATGCGAACGCCACCGCCAACGGATTTCTCAATCGAGTTGGTGATTGACGGCAGTAAACCGGGAATCAGGGGACTAGCAGCAAGTTTGTCTATTACTCATTTGCCAAGAGACGTTAGGTTACCACGTTACCTTAGTAAAATACATGTAGCTTCTGCAAATGCTACCCAAATGCCAACGAAAAGACCCTGATCTTGACTCTGGGGTCTTGATTTCTACATCGTGTCTTTGAGTCCCTTGCCTCTTGCATCTGTCTCCAAGTGTCTGTCCACAAAAACTGAATTTCCCATAGCCCATAGCCCATAGCATAGGTGCATTACTGCATTCGCACTCACAACAAGCCAACGGATGAGTTGGAGGCCACTGGCCTTAGCTCCTTAGAAAACGCGTTGTTTCATCCGCGTATGAGGTCATGGTGGAGGGCCAAGGCGTTTGTGCTCATTAAGGTATGGTCAGGTTCCTGGGCTCTCCTAAGCTGTATTTGAGCCTCATCAATCGAGTCTTCTTTTGATGAAACGTCGAAAGAAGACGTTTACTGAATTGCTCAAGACATTAGTTATGCACCCTTTTAAACATCAGGATCATGCTTCACGAGGTTTGAGGTACAGCAAACTCTTCGATAATTGTTCTTATCATCCAAAAGCTTCAATCGCAGATCAGAACCCCCTGTCATGGTCCGGACATGGGACAGATGGAGCAAAAGCAACAAATGACAAGGGATCCGGATGAGGAATAGACGGCACCCTATTACCGGTTTCTCCGTGTATGAGTGAACATTTACCCACCTTCACCATCGCTCACCTGCCGTGCAAAGCTGGCCCGTCTACTAAGGTATCATCCAAAGCCTCAGACGTACTCCGTAGAAACAATCTCTTGCTTGAGGCAGAGCCATCCGCATCCTCATTTCCCCGGAATGAACGAGACAGGGCCACCGGAACAGCCACCGACGTAGACCCTGTAAGTGCGTGCTGCGGACAATTTCTTGAGATTGATGCTATTTTTACCTCTTTAGCCCCAGCAGGAGACCCCGTTCAGGGACCAGACAACGACCGTCCAGCGCGCAGCATCCGCTCCGGGGTTCGGGCCTACTGCAGACTCCAGAGGCATCGGCCACAGCGGACTCAGCACCGGAGGCGGGGCGAAATGCGCTGTGAGCTTGAGTCCTGCCGACCCCGGATTGGTCAATTTCGGCATCCCGCATTGGCTTGGGCGCAGGAAACAGCGACGGAAGCCCAAGGCAAGAGGCGTGTGGCTTGTGCTTCCTTAGAGTTGTTGTTTCCTTCCTTCGCAAGCCACGACTTGGCCGGAGCCTCAACGACTCGCTCGACGACGCCCCAAACTGCCATAGCTGCAACCTACAACTCCAGTCTCGACCTCATTATGGACTTGCTCCGGAGATATTCTCCCAGCAGGCCGGAAAAACTCTCTGCACATCATTCTTCCCCAGGGTCATCCCGTTGACCGGGTCACCAGGGGACGACTCATCATGTCTAGCCCCCCCTCCGGCCAAAATTCGATGGCATTTCTCGCAAAGATGTCAAGGACGGCGCAACAGGCGCACAGATGACTCCCACTTCTGGCATACACCTTGCAGGGCTCCGATGGGATAGAGCTGTTGCTTTTCGATATGGAGGTTTCCCAGTTCACACTCCAGAAACCCTCGTCGAAGCGGCCACGATCGACTGCTTTGCTGAGAGCCAGCCTGGCTGATAATCAATGATCTCCAGTTGAACAGCTAAATTCTCCCCCATATAGCAAGATTTCGGATTGGTCCATAGGTGAATTGCCAAAGTATGTATCGCTGGCAGCCAACTGATGCGTACAGCTAGGTGGGTTTTCGAATACAGTATGATCTGTCTTGGCACATCGTCTAGAATTGGCAATTTCAGGCGCCTTTCTGTATGTCGCGCATCTCGAAACGATCTCTCGCACGAGACCGACTCGCCAATGTCGATATCGGAAAATTCTGACACTTCGTTCTATTGTGCCTTCGCTCGACGGAAACATCTCCGGTGACCGGCAAACCTTGGCAACTTGTCAGTGCCTCCTGTCCACTGGTGCAAAGCCAGTAGGGCCGAAATTCACTTCGAGACTTTCAAGAAAGGCGCTTATTTTGCCAGAATCAAAGCCAATCATTTCTTCTTTGCCCTCAACGCTATGTTGCGCATGCCAACGCCAACTCCGAAAACCAATTGTCCCGTGTTTCCCCGTCCCTGTGTGTCCCGAATCCCTGGACAACTGTTTTCTCTTCAGTTCCCGTTTTCCCTATCGTGGCTACTAGTCCTCAAATCCAGTGTGGGTATCCCGGTCTGTCTGTTCGCACCGTCGCCGCGCCGGGCTGCAGAGGTATAATCTCCGTCTCGACTGCGTCAACTTCAGCCTTCTGAGGCAACTCCTGCAACTCTCGCTGTACTCTCCTCTCCTCCTGCTCCTGCAACAGCATCTTCTTGACTCGTCGCATCTTGACATAGATGTATATCGCGAGTGCGATAGTCAGAACGAATGTTGCGCCAAAGACAATGTTCTTGATGGTGTTGTTGCTGTTGTTCGACTTCTTCTCAATCAAGAGAACACCGAGATAGACGAGAATGATTTGCTTCGGAAGCGTCAAGAAGGTCGACACGGCAAAGTGCCAGAACTTGACATCGCATGTCGAAAATACCGCCGTCGAGAAATGGGACGGAATCACCGAAAATCGAATAATGAAAACAATCTGTTAGGTGTCAGTCACACAGTCGACACGAACGGCCCATGCCAATGGACATACCCAGAATCCGCCGTCGCGAGTCAATCGCGCCAAAGCACCATAATTCAGGTTAGTTCTCTCCAGCTTCTGAGCCTTACGTCGCAAGGTATACTTGAACGCAAACCAGGTTCCGACTGCAATCTGAATTAGCGATCGGGTCATACGTTGGGGCTTGTGAGTGTCGTACTCTCTCCGATGAAAGTGCCGGCTGCGACGATGGCAAATCCAATCCACAGGCCGTACACCACACCGCACAAAAGGGCCACAATTTCATGGCCAAACAGGGGCGGGAACGAGATCAAAACCAAGATGGCGATCGGAATCAAGAACCCTCCGGGTAGCGACCGGACCTTTTCGGAAAAGGGCCTCAATTTCTACAATTGCAGGACGTGTTAGTGATTGTATCTTCTTCGCACTCAACAAGATGCCACAAACCTCAACGACCTCATCATGATGAAGACTGATGAAGACTGTTGCCACAATGATGGCTATGCCCAAAAGGTGGAATGCTGCACGTCGCCCAAGTCAGTTTCCCCTGTCTTTTCGATGCCGGCTGGATGATTCATACGGATATACTTTGGCGTCAAGAAGATCTTCTTCCAATTCAATGGCCTATACTCTGTATCCTCCTCCTTCTCTCCTTGCCGTTGTACGCTTCCCGTTCGGGCCATCTCGACGTCGGGCATGGTAGAAACTGCCGGCGACTGTTGGTGATGGAGATCTGATTGTTCAACAACCCGGCTCCAGCGTCGACGAGAAAATATGCGACCAACACCCATTTTGATGAGAGCGGGCAGAATGATCTAGGGGGAAGGAGAACACGCACATCAAGTAGGGAGACGGCGGGATCTGAAATCAATGCGAAACCGGAAAGCGGAACGCACAGCCACCCCAAAGATCGGCCAAAGGAGGCAATAGTCAGTGCAGTGGTCCAGAATTTCCTCGAGTCGTAACGCTTTATGTCGCTGGGTTGTTCCTGGAGAATAAGCCTTAATTCTTATTAACGCGGATGCAGGGCTACGGGAAAATCCCCCGCACATCCTCCCCCTTTTACACCACCGCAAATGAGGATGCACGGATACCGGGGGAAGGACAAGGAGATCCAAAACGAAGTTTGACTGCTCCTCTTTTTTCGCAATGGGAACCTCAACGTCATGTCTTGTGTGAGAGGTTGCGGTTTCGCGCACGGTAGACGTATCACAATACATACGGCCATCACCAACACGTGGCGGGCGGCTCTTTGCGTGTTTCAACACCCGTGGCCGATCACCGACCAGCAAGGCGTCGGAGATCCAAAAGACACCGATAACGAAGCACCCCAGGCCAAGTTACCCCCACGTAGCCGCCGCGGCCTTCTTTTGATAGCCAAATTTCACTCGTCGACTCCGCGACCACAAGCTGTATGTTTCTCCCAACGTGGTTGGACAACGGGGGATGTTTAAGCTTGCGACTGGCCCCAGACAAGACTCAACACCATGTCACCACCATCCGTCGGACACCACGGCAGAACCCCTCCGAGCTATCCGCGGTATGAGCTTGGCCATTCTCTCTCGCCTACAGTGCTACACAGTTGGGCTCTTACGCTTCCCTCGTCAAAGTTACATTGATAGGAGAAAACTCTACTTACCCCAGAACCCAATGCCTTGGCTGAACCTGACACTCGAGGATCAAGCCGGCTAGTCTCCCGGTGGTCCTGGCGGGAGATTTAAACGCACGGTATTCGGCAGCCAGTCAAGCCTGGGCTACAGTAAGGATCTTTTCAGCTCGAATGTGACCTTGCTCATCTCTGTAATCCTGTTGTTGGTCTCATCCAATGGCATCCAACATTCTGAGCGACGGATGGCTGGCTTCATGTACACGGAGCTCTGGGTCATCTTGGACGGGCTTGCGACGGGCATGAGACCTTTTAACGAGAGTGCCAGAACTCACTTTTTCTTTTGGACGTTTTCCCCGAGGACGCGTGTGCCCGTGCCTCAGGGTAGCTGCAAAACCTGCGGCCGTTGTGCTGTCGGATAACGTTCAGCCCAGCAGCTCTTTGCTTTCTGTTTGGACGGATAGTAATTCTGTCCCTCACAAAGTTCTTCGCGATCGGTAAGAGTGTGGGATTGACACGCACATCTTCCGGTCACTATCATCCCTTGCTTCCAATTCCCCCGCTTTTTCTAGCACTTTGGATATCATCTCTATGCCACAAGAAAGCCAAAACAGCTTATTTATGCTGCTTGGAAGCTCTTTCTGCCCCAGCGGACCCTACCTCTCCCGATGACATTGACAGCCTGTTTTGCGTCTCGGCGAGCACGTCATGACTGCGACGGTCTGAGCAGGAGCCTTCATTCCCGGTCTCCGATCCCAGCTGCTCGGAACGCGAGGACGAGCTTCTTGCAGCATTAGATACGCGTGGGCTCTTGATTATGTAGAGGCTTTAATGTGTATGCCGCACTTTGAGTACTCTTCACGGCACAAAGACTTTGGAGAGATGCACTTGCTTCTGCGGCGGACATGCAGACTGCAAGCAAGCTTGTCATGTACACAAGGACGAAAGGAAGGCAAGCCCATGTTCAACGGATGCCAAGAACATCCGAGCCACCAAAAAGCTGCTCACACTAAGGTAAGCAATCACGCAGTTTGGCTCCCGGCGGACGGGCCGCTCCTTTAGCGTTGCAGGTGTGGCTTTTTGCATCCTCTTTTTGATGTGGCAAACATGACTACGAGTGGCTACGCTGCCTTGGCGCCTGGTGGTTAGGAATGCAAATTGGAGGAGGTTGTGAGACATCGTGGAGTTTGACAGCTCTTAGCTTCTTGGCTTCTTTGGTGTTTCTGCGCCTATTCAGCTCCAGCTTCTTCCAGCTCTGTGTCAGAATCATCCAGATCATTTCCAACTTCGTTCACCGCACCCACGAGCTAGTCGCAGGCAATATAAGGCTTGTCGTCGGGTAGAAGTCTTGGTGTGAAGCCTCGTTTGACTCCCTAGCGGTGTAAAGGCGGGATCGTCCCGCTTCTGACTTATCGCAGTGGCTCTCTTGTCTGCTTGACCCAGTCGTTGGATAGCTTGTTACGTGATATAAGTCTAAACGAGGAGATCGACCGTGCTCGGCGTCGTCGGCGGCGGCTACACCCGCATACCAACTTGTTAGTTCGTGTCTTGGCCTCCGCTGGAGAGACATTTTTGGCCTCCCCCAGTCTACCTTGTTCCACGTTGAGGCCGTTTTCGGCGCAGGGCTATTTTTCAGGGTCTCGTGTCTTACCTGCTATGGGCACTTAATCAAAAGCTTGCTTCAGTTTACGTGGTAGTCAAGGCGGTTATGATGCTACTTAGCACGCTTGGATATATTGTCGAGAGACAGCGGAGGCGGAAACTCCGCGTTCTTGTTTCAACATCGGTCTGATAATCCACGCCACGAGGCGATAGGGAGTTGAAGCTTTTCAGGGTCAGATATACGATAGGTTTCTTAGCATACCGGTCTCGTAGGCTAACCTGACGTGTGTGATAGTCATGTACTACGGCCTGCTGTCTATTCCTGACTCGTCAGTTGTGATAACCTTCGGACCAATATACCCGCCTTGAGGAGAGAAGAATCCTCGTTCCCGTGAGCCTTGCCGATCATGAAAATCTTTTAACGAGGTCGTGAGCCACAACTGTCCTCCGCGAGATCGTCAGACCTTTGGCCTGCGGATCTTCGCCTCGAGGTTCAGCTGCCAAGGAGATGAGCGAGAGGGAGAGGCGTAAGACGGAAGACGGAAGACGAGGGGAGGCTACATGATCAGGTAGGAGATGTCGACGGGCTTGGGTATGTTAATGAGCTAGGGGAACATCTATAAAGACTGCCAGTCAAAGGCCTTTCTTGATCTATATCTCTAGACTTTCAAGCTCACAAGTTCTATCATCACTACATCCACCAAGGAAGTCCAACTTACATTCACCTACCTTATCCCATAACTGCAATACCTCATCTTTCTCATAACAACCAGACGCATACACCCATATCAAAAATGCACTTCTCAAAGACTCTACTTTCCCTCGCCGCCCTGGCCATCTCCTCAACGACAGTCTTCGCAAACCCCATCGCGCAACCGGCGGCAGCGGCAGCGATAGCAGAACAGCTCGAGGACCGTACTCTTCTTTCTGCAGAAGAGACCGAAATCGTCAAGCGGGCCGCAGACATCCTTGAGACCCGTCAGGGATGGACGTGTTCGTTCTTGGGCGATAAGGCGTGTCAGGTCAAGGTACCGTTTTAACGCGGAGCCTTCAAGGCATTGGTAAAGGTTTGCTGACGAGTTTGGTGTAGTGTTTTGGGCTGAAGGGAACTGGTGGATACTGCAACTCCAAGAAGTAAGTTCCTTACCCAGGTCTTTGAGTTGTTTTCTGATGTTTATTAACGTTTTTTATAGTGTCTGCACTTGCCACGCTTGAGTTTACATACTTCAGGCCTTTTGGGTTGGCGAGAGGTAGGGAGTGGGATTCGAATGCTTTTCAAAAGCTTGAGGTCTGGTACTAAAGGTAGAGAAGGGATACTAGAGAATATGGAACTAGTTTGATTGGATTTCGGTGACTAGAACCCCATTTGCCAGACGGCCAGAATGGGCCACATCCTGACCTTGTTGGTACTGGGTGGCGTGCAAGGTAGCCGAAAGGATCTCACGAGAAACACTAAAATCAAGATAGGGAACTCAAAAATAAGTTAAAGAGCTTTTGGGCCATGGAATCGTACTTGTGACTCATGAAATTCATTTTCCTTCGATAACAAGGTACCTAAGACTAGCAGTCGAAGGCAATTCTCTTCCGCTACCACGGAACTGGAGATATCAAAAATTGCCCACGAACGGATTAGTCTTTACTGATATGTCCCATTTCTCTCGAACTTTTGTATTTAGTTGGTGACTTGTTTCTAACTGCGGATAAGGTAGAAAGCATTCGGAGATATAAATAAGTGCAACTACATTATCAAGCCTCAGCCTGCGTTGAAGTCCATACATGTAGCACAGCAACGTTCTACACAACAGAAACATCTCCCTCACGAAGCTTCATCAGTTACCAAGATATTCAACCCACAAGAAATCGGCATGATTCACTGGAACAATGTCTCACAATCTCACATCAAACTCCACGGCCAAAAACACTTTATCGTCATTTGGGTACATGGAGCGATACGGACATCTCGCACCTCCCCGCGACAAGCCCACCCACGAATTCGACAACCTCGAACAATCCCTCTCTGTCCGAATCAACGATAAATATATTAACTGCTTCAGACTCGTCGCCGCGGGTAAAAACACCGCAGGCACCGGATGCGGTGTCCGTATACATGCATTCACCAACGACTCGGAATGCAAAGACATCGCCATGAAAGGGAAAGGGGAGGATGTACATGTCACTGTCGCGCCAAAGGACAAGCTCGCGGACGAGGTCGCTGGCGAGATCATGGCTGTTTCGCTGGGGAATCAGGGATGTATTTCAAGAAGGCTGACCTGGGCTTTGGCGAGGATGATGGGTGGGTGAAGGTTTTGATGGATAGGGAGTACAAAGAGGATGTTATACCGCAATGGGAGGACTTGGAGGAGTGGGTTGAATTGTGAGAAAGTAGCAGCCGGTGGGCAGGTGTAAGGCTTCCGTACTCTAGGCTCAAGTCATAAATGGCCAAAGGGGGAGACGTTGATGGAAAATTGGACCGTGGAGGCGGATACCGACTTGCACACATACAGCATAGAATTTGGGAGAAGCATGTACTATAGATTCAACATGTACAAAATCTTACAGCAGTTAATAAAAACGCGACTTGAAAGACTCACAAACCCCTAGCTTCTCCCGAAAGTCTGCTAGATCTCCCGTCGAAGACATCTCCTCGGTGCCACTTTCTGATGTCTTCCTCCGTAACTGGGCCCCCATGATGAACTTGGATATCGTGCCTGACGCATATCCCATCACGTTCCTTGCCATCACCCACGTTCGCTTTGCTGTTCTGGATATCATCCATCCCATACAATTCGTCCGTCGACCCTTGCCAGCTAACCCCGTCTCCGAGCCGTTCAAACGACCCCTCGAGATCGATCGTGTCATTGGCGGCGGCGGCCCGCTTGCGGTTACTCGCTTGACCGATGGTGAGCGCGTGTACCTTGCTGGACCTCTTTGTAGACGAATCTTTGCCGCTGGATTTGCCCCGTGAGGTGGAGTAATGATGTCCCGATTTGACAACGCTCACGACGCCGCCAAAGAAGCGCCTGAAAAGAGATGCACAGGGCGGTAGACAAGCGCCTATGATGTCAAGGCAGACTTCGGCGGCCGATGCCGTATAGGGGAAGATGGTTGTCTGGCTGACGTTGTGCGCTACACCGGGCACGGGGCGAAAGATCCAGAAGAGAAGCGGTCGGGAGATGGAAATGAGGATAACGCTGGCGAAAGTCAGTTGATGCCTCAAAGAAAGGGATGGCTTGATGAAGGCATTCCCATACCTGCCGCCGATCAAGAAGATGCCTGTTAGTGCCGCCTTCTTGGTCCGTCGCATCTGAAGCCTCCATATCTCGTTGATGGGGAGGACCATCGCTATGATGTCGAAGAGGATATTCGGGAATAGGATCCCTACTTTGCTGATTCCCATGCAGGTTCCCGGTAGGGACTTGTCCCAGTGGTACTCTACAGGTAAACAAGAGAAAGCTGTGCGTTGTGCAAGAACATCAGTTACGGTCTCCCGCTTGACGGTTACTGATCACTGGAGTCGGAACCCAACGGAACCACGGACACATCTTCACTAGAAAGTCACTTACTGCTGACCAAAATCACAGCAATGAGCCACAGCAAAATTGCAATTGTTGTTCCCCATACCCAGCACCGCAAAACCTTTGAAGCTGAGAAAAGACGGTAGTACATGGCGAGGACTGCTATCTTGGCGGCCGAACATGCTACGCAGTGTATAATGTCTATGGCCAGAATACACTGGATCTCACGTATCAGTCATTGAGATTGGGTAATCGAGAATGGCAGAGAGTACTTGCCTTGAACAGAGGGGCCGTGCCGCCAGGTTGATTTTCCATAACATCTTGGATGTTGGTGCCAAGACCAATTGGGACAGCTAGACTAGAGCTTTAGCTTTGTTGCCTCGAAGATCATCGAGATAACCTTACCAGCAAGTTCAATAGCAAGCAGAGAGTGGTTTGCCAGCTTTTAGACTTTGAGTCAGTCTGTTCCACTTTGCGCCATGTCTCATATTGTTTCGACGTGACCTGTGGCAAGTACCTACCAAAGCTATCAAAGAAATATGAACATCTGCTGTCCATATCGCATGTGGTGTTCGCCATGAGGCGTAAAGTCTGAGCAAGAAGAGAAGAGTAGCTACAAAACTCAGTATTCCGTGTGAGATGGTCAGGATGCCGGAGATGTCGTGGTCCGAGTGGTATGCGATGGAAACCATTGTGAAAGTGGGAGTCCTAACAAATTGGATGCAGGAACATCTGGTCACACGAAGTGAGAAAGGTGAATGCGGCTTGCCGTCTGGGCTTCATCCCTCTTCGTCTGAGCACCGGGAATATGCTTTACAAATATAAAACGAAGATAAAGAAAATTCTCTTGCGGCCGAGAAGTTGATGTAATCGGACCTTGTGCCAGCCTCTGGGTGTGCGACAGGGGTAATATGCATCCTATTAGCAAACAAGCGAAATAGTGTTGGTGTTGGTGCCGGTGCATGAAGTGTTCTGGTTGGACGTCGCCATCAGGACATGGATGATTATGCCGAACTAAGTCACTAAACCGTTGGATCGCCGGTGGCAGTTGGTAAGTAGGCAAACATTAGCAACGATTGCTGCTCTCTTGCCTCGCTCTCATATTCCCCATCTAGATGATATCGTCACAGGTTTGCTGGGGCTCAAATTGATTTCTGATATTGAATCGCACTCGATGGCCAGATGGACAAGAAATCCGAAAATGAGGGGCTGTCAGCCGCTGATTGAGTTGGTGAAGCTAAGAGTGGCAAGTTGGCAACACTTTTGCAGTAGGCAATGAGACATACGAGGAGCCGTGTCTGAATAAGAAAGCTTTGGCGCCCCGGAGTCCCGGGCTAGACCTGTCCGAGGAGGCCATCGTCGTCAGACCTTTCCGTGCCTCATGCATGAGCCAGGGGATGCGTCCAATGAACTCCAATTCCCACTTTCCCGCCATCTTGGCAAAACGAATGGTCACTCGAAAACGTGGCAGGCTCGATGTGCCGGTACCGCAAACATGAGCTGCCACTCCCACCTAATGCTACCTTACCATCGAAATTTTCAATACACTTTTTGACTGGTTCCCCGGCCTTGAGATCTCTCAGTCTTGGGACGATCGATTCCATATCCCCACTCCAATCTGAATGCATGTTCGCTCATTGTTGATGTATTTGCTAGAAAACTAAACCGTCAATGGCGCATTAACCCCCAAGGCATTCCAAAACAGATCCCAATACGTTTTTTGCATGAAATCTTGGCCAATCTAGACGATAACGACAAATATGATCATTTCCAAGTTCTCTACAGCTACATCACCAGGGCGGACACATCCTCAAGCATCCCAAGCCTTGTGTGGTTTTATCATTGACAGTCTGACAGTCTGACAGACATGGATGCAGCAGGCAAAGATGGGTGCAGCAAGCAACCGCTCTAGATTCCCAGCATCAGATCCTTCCTTCTCGAGGAACTCCAAGAAGAAAAGACAATTATGTTTTCTTTTCCCTACAGAGAAGAAAAAGTGGACCACGCAGTGGACCGCGAGCATCGATCAATGAGATACCCGGACAGCGCCCGGCAAGCTTCGCCGAGATAATCATGAACTCGTGCATCTCGATTCGTTGTCGGTGCTAGAGCAGGTAGCTTTGGTTCTCCAAGATTCTTTTCGTTTCATTTGAAGCCCTTCGTGTCGGTATAAATACATCAAGGTAGCAGGAGCAGCATTCGTTTAGTTGTTAGGCAGATGGTATACTACCGTGCACCTTATGAGAAGGATTTGAGTTCGCAAACGCTAAAGTCTTCCTGACTTGATCTATATCTTGTTCAATTTTGGCTCTCAACCAAAGCTCTCAAAACCGTGGCAGTTGACACCGCTTGTCTGCAGCTTTCTGCAAGCAAGTTGGTCTTGGGGTTGAACGTCAAAATCTTGTAGATATGGCTCTCCATTTTCGTCAGTCTTCCAGCTAGTTCCTGATAAGAACGGATCAACTAGATCGAGGAGAGGACAAAGAGACTTCTTGTGAAATTTCCGTTCGCGGGAGCCAGTGACTGTAAGGTCTAAAATCAAGAAGCATGACATTTCAAAGCAGCTCTTGAAACACTGAATATGTCGGATTGGAAGTCCAATTCGACCACGAGGCAAGGAGCCCGCGCAGGGGTCACTTACAGACCATACTTACGATAATCGCGGCCTACCCAACCTACGGTTGGAACCTCCCCTTTCCACCTTACGCAGAAGTTTATATAGATCAATTGACCTCTTCGTCAACCTACGGTTCGAACCGAATTCCCTGTGATAGGGATACCCACAGAATAACCCGTTGTCTAGTCTCCTTGAAGGTACAAGAAATGTGCCAACTTTTGAACTAGAGGCTGTTACAGGTTGCCAAAGAGTCTTGAAACAATCAAGACAACATTGAACCCGCATTATTTACCTCTACCGTGTTCATTGTTCTAGCTAAGACTCTTGAACTCGTATTCCTATTTCCTACTTATAGATGCACATTTCCAAGATTCGCCAAATTTCACGAGTCAGCTTTCTCTCAAGATTTCGTTGTCTACGTGCAGGAGCTAGGAGGTGGGAAAGACGAACAAGCCTGGGTTACATAGTAATACACTCTATCTACTTTTGAGAGGCAAGAGCAACTGGCCTCGTGCATCCCCATACCATGTCAAAACAGATAAATGTAATCTCTATCTGTCTCTGCAACTATGCATTTGAATGGCCTTCAGTGATGATGACCGACATATTTTCATATACTTCTCTGATTCTATTTTCCCTGACGATACGAGTAATGCTCCTGGCCTCGGAAGGTGGGGGAAAGTACACAATCGATGAGCGTCACATTGATAGAGGGCAGCAAAGAGTTTGAGAACCGACGATCAGTGACCAGCGAAACTATCGGTAAACAGCCCAGAAATCAGATGTCTCTCTTTCTGCTCAACATCGATCGGCGTTGTGTCCTACTCAACTAAGATTCCGTGCATCATCTACCAAAAGTTCTGAAACCGCAAGCTGGCTGTCGAGTTGGTACTCTAACTAGCCGGACATCCATTGACAGTACTAGGAGACCCTCTAATTTTGTTTTCTAGCCTAAGGGTCTGATCCTACAATAAACAGCATATTCCAAGCTATTCTTTCAGAGATAATGGGAAAATCCCGAATGCAAACAGCGCTTCTAATACCGCGCCTCCTTGATCGTCCTGCTCCTGACTCGTACTCTTCCAAACGGCCCTTTCCATACGAACGATGTTTTTGCCATTTGAGTACTCATATGCCTAGGAGACAAGACTATTTTACCCAAAGGAGCTATACATTTCCGAATCTTCAACCTAGAGACTGCAATTTCCGTCTTTATAATCCGCCGATGACCAATTATCAACGGCTCACGCTTGATTTGAACAATCCGGTGGCCGAGCTACACCGAGTCGTTGACGGTCTGACACGACAGGGATAAGCTTCTGAAACTAAGATTGCGCATTCTATTATACTCTGCTCATTCCCCACCGCTTGTGGCAGTGAGAATATTCCCGTACAAACAAGCCACTTAAGCTTTACAATTGGATGAACCGGCGCCAAGTTATTTTTGATGTCGGATTCCCCGGGAATGGGGCCCACAACAGGATTTTGCTGTCAGGAAGTCTAATAATCGGCAATAGCATGAAAATAATATGCAGTCAAGAAGCATAGCCTCCACTCCAGGCCCGTATGCGTGAAAGTCAAAGACTGCATGATCGACAAATCCGACGGTCTCGGTTTAGTGCACTCTTGGTATAAGAGCCTATGGGACACGCACTTGTGTCGTAGTTCCAACTTGTTCTGCATCAACTACTTGTCTCTCGTTCTCTCATTCCCTTTCGTAATCAACAACCAACCTGTCTTCTCAACTTAAGAAACATTCATCAAAATGCGTGCCTTCACCGTCGCTGCTGCTCTCCTGGTTGCCGGAGTCCAGGCTGCCCCTGCTCTCGAGAGCCGTCAGATCATCTACGGATGGTAAGTCACGGTGTCCCTGAAGCTACACAACTCAGCGACTGTATCGCAGGGTTTGCAACTCCTGCACCATTCTAACAGCAATTGGTAGCTACTTCTCCGGAGATGGCGTTGTCAACCAATACGTCAGCGTTGGCCACGACATCGATGTGACCGGCACCAGTGGCAAGAGCTACCACATTGACTGCGGCACCACTTCGGGACAAATCGTCCCTAACGTCTTCGCCAAGTGCACTGTGGACGGAAAGCAGCCGGCTGGCATCACCGCTAACGAGTCTGACAAGAAGTAAGTTATACAACAGGCACGGAATATTGGAGCCAAGAGCTAATCGATCATTTCTTAGCGCAATCAATTGCCCCATTTCCTAGATCTACTTGTCTCATTTCAAGCATAGTTCGAGTATTAGACCTTAATCAATAATTGGTCTTATCGACCTGGAAGAGTTTTTCTACTTCAAATCAGATCCCGAATCATGTGAAATACCTTGATCTGCACGAGTTGGAGTGTAGTCTTCCCGGGAACCGACCTATTATCTCTCACCTCTGCTGCCAGACGTTCTAGGCTTTGCTTAACCGTGTCTGTAAAAGCTGTATTCTGCAAGTTGCTAGAGTCGGCCACATCTCTGAGACAATAGGACTGTGTGCTACTACTGAATTACTCGAATCCAGGGTGACCGTCGTGATGGCAGCTTTCGACTTGTTGTGTATCCATACGACATCACTTCAAATGGGGTACCTAAGCTGATGACGTAGAAGGGTCACACATTCAGAAGCCTAACACCCAGCTTACGTAGATAACCACGATGACCAGTTAGTGACTACATGCCAAACTGAATAGTAATCAGATCAAGCCTACGAGAGTGACAGCTGAATAAAACGTTTCATAAGCACACAAGTAGTTATTTGACAGCTTCCAGTCATTATGTTGTTTTTCGCTGCACGCCATCAATTATTGGCTTATTTAAGAGAATGGGAGATCTCACATGTGACCAGCGTGTCTGTACTCATAAATACCATAGTGGGAAATATTCATGTGTCAAAATCTCCATCAGGAGATCTATCAAGTGCGTGCAAGCGAACACGCTGAACGAACACGGGGAGCTGCCCCCTAGATCCTAGCATCAATGCGGATCTCGGGCCTCTCTGATGGCTTTGACGTTGACAGCACAAGGGTATTCCACAGAAGCCTTGGCCGGAGTACATGAACGATGACACGACCACAAGTACACATCAGACGCATCTGCCCAATCGCCAACAGAGAACCGACCGAGGAAAGACGAGACTTGGCCATACAGGGCCCAGAAGGCGATGAAGAGTCGGCAAGGTCCGACACAGTCGGTTTTGGGCCGAAGTTCATCGCCGCTAAGGTGCAGCTCTTCGATTACCCGTTTGGTCGATTGGCCTATACTCGGTTGCAAAGCCGAAAACCAGCCAGAAACCACAGCCCATCTCCCACGGCTGAGATGATTCGCCTTGCAGGACGCGCAACACATGTCAGAGATAACGGCATCTTGCTGACAGGTCGTCCGTAGTGCGGCAAGCCTTTTTGAAACTACCGCAGTCGGCATTCTTATGCGGTGCAGTCCAAGATCACCGTCTTCCATCACCTCCACCATGCCGACGTCAAGTTAAGGGGACTTGCTCCGCTGTCTTCTTTCCGGATACGGAGGCCCGCTCTCCTTTCAAGTATCCACGGTTGGCTCTGCCGCGCCCGATTCAATTCCCCGTTATACGTCACAACCGCTCGGCAGGTCCAGAGCGTCTGTCTATCCGAGGAGGACTATGCAATCTTTTCTGTTTCCATTAGCATGAGGCATCGGAGTTCATCAGCATCCAGTCAACGGCGGCGCGTCATCGTCACAACGCATACGAGCGATGCAGAGAATCTGGAATCTGCACTACACCTGACTTCAGCCTTGAAGAGTGCTCTCTAGAACAACTAATAACGCCCCGTTGCTTTTCTCGCTGCAGAATATCAACGAAGATCTCGAAGCGGCCCAGTCGAAAAGTACTCAGCATTATCTCGCCGATCCTTGTAACATTCTAGCAACAACACAGCACGAGAACGGTCCGATCTCTGGACTCCGACGATGATTGTTCAAAAAACATGGCCGCAATATATTGCGGTGCGCCTGCTGATTATCATGATGAGGGACCTGGGGCTTCTGGGCCTGACCTACTTCTACGTCGTATTTGCTTTAGGCGGCGTCAAAGCTATTGCCCATCCAGTTTCCATCTTCATCGAAGTCATTGCCGCCATCGAAATTCTCTTTTACTTGCTCTTCTTCCTACCGTACAAACGGTACCTTCAAACTTACAAGCCATACACGCCCGCTCGTATGAGTCGATCACAGCGCGCCCGACTATTCTCCAAGGCCTTGAGTCTCGTGCCAGATGGCGAGGAATTCGTTCGCATGTGGATGCTCAACAACTTCCCTCTCGCCTAATTTTTCTTGGCATCTGCTGTTAGTGAATGAGTGAGCCTACCACCAAATTACTAACAGCCGAAAACTCTTCACCTCCCCTTGCCGGAGCCCGCATCCGCGATGGCCTCACAGCCGCCGTCGGGCACCGGACTGATGTCGGCCGACCAAGCCGACCCCGAACCAGGCTCCGGGACACCTCCGGAGCCGAACCCCACCTCAAGAGCTAAGCGACGCCGCGACGCCGAGGCACAGCCGACCCGGCCCAGCCTAACGGGAAGCCAGCTTGATGCCACCACCGACGCCCCTACCTCGGCCGAGGGGCCCGCAGCCTCTACCGCATCTGCTCCGAGCGGATCTGCCACAGGGTCCGTCTTGACAGCCCTTGCAGAAGAAGCTAGACAGTACGAGGCACGGAAAGACGTCTTTCTGACCATTGCACGGTCCGTCGACAGCGTTGTCGCCAGCTTTGACGGTTCTAGAAAGCAGATCGCGAAAGAAGCCACTGCCTATGTCATTCAAACCCTCAAGAGACTGATCAATCACGAGACAAGCCCAATAGCGGCCCGGAGTTGGGCGGCTGTCGTCGCACCGATGGCGGGCAACACCACTGCGGCGACCCGGAGCGGCCAGAGCTGCCAGAGCTCTGCCCGCCCGAAGGCCACACTCCCCGCCGAGGATCAGCCGCAGGCGCAGCCGAAGGAGGACCTCCGCATCTTTGCCCGCGTCCCGGAAGAAAGCTTAGCGGCCGCTCGGAAGATCGCACCGTTCGCCGTACGACAGATCGTCTGTAAGGCCGTTGGCCTGGGGCTAGCGGACCTTCCCCACGTCTACCATATCAGCACAGGTTACTCTCTGAAGCCGCGAAACAAGCAAATACAGGAAAGACTACTTACAAGTAAGGCAAAGCTGGCGGAATGCCTCGGCGCCCACCAAGTCGAGACGCCTATCAAGTGGCACACATACGTTGTGCCGCGATGCCCAACAAAACTACACAGCATTGGCGGGGACGTCCTGGACCCAGCCACACTCGTTGAAGATGAGGTCTTCGCACAGACAGGACAGAAGCCTGTCCTTGCTCGACCGTCCCGCCTTGGGCCCAACCCAGTCACGAACGAAATATCTTGGCTCATATCATTCACATCAGAGGTCACGCCCTTCAGGCTCTTCAACCAAAGCGGCAGATCTCTGCCCATCAAAAAACGAAGGACGCTCATCCGACATGACCCCGGCTGCCAGGGCTACCACGCCAACCGGTTCTGCGGACGACGACCGACTTGCAGCAACTGCGGAAGACCTTCCGACTCACACGAAACGGGACCTTGCATGGCCAGGCCCCAGTGTCCCAACTGCTGCGGCCCCTTCCAAGCCGGCCACACAGACTGCCCAGCGAGGCCCTCGGTCGTAAACGGCGTCGTCTCCCTTCCCGGTCGAAAGGAGCGGGCTCGGATCCGGAAGGCCGGCCAGAAAGCATCGGACACTCTGTACAAGGCTACTCGATCCGACAGTAGCCAGGAGGCGGCAGGCGTCCCTACCTCCACCAGCCAGAACCAGCAACCCGGCGCCAAGCGCGCGCGCACGAGAACGCCCTCCGCAAGCTCGATCGTTTGCCTCGGTGACGGAAGCACTGACAGCAGCAGCATGGATGAAGACGAGGCGGACGAAGGCGAAGGCGAAGACTCCCCCGACAACACCTCCATCGACCGTCCCGTGCTACCCATGCCAAGCAGGAGCCAACGGGCAGCACAGAAGCCAAACTACAACGTCGCGAATGCCTACACCCACCTCGAACTCGACTCGGAGACGTAAGCCGAGAGCGGCGACCCCACGGATGCTACGCGTTGCGCAGGGCAACGTCGGAAAGATCTCCCCGGCGCACACGGCTTTCCTGCAGCTCTGCTGGGAGGCTCAGATAGATGTGGTCCTCGTCCAGGAACCCTGGACGGGCTGGAAGGACGGAAACGTGCAACTGAACACGCACCCGGGTTTCGACTCTTTCGTCCCGGTCGACTTCTGGGACAGCGAAGGAACCAGACCAAGAGTATTGACCTACACACGCAAAGGGATAGGGATGACGGTGGAGCAGCAGAGGCCTGTCCACACGAGAGACGTACTGTGGCTGGTGGTCGACAAAACGACGACTATCGTCAACGTGTACAGACAACCCCGCGACCCCCACAGCCGCACAACAGGGATACTGCTAGAACTCAAACCCCCGGAGCGAGCTTTGATCGCGGGTGACTTCAACGCGCATCACTACTCTTGGGAGCC